TATATAATATATATAATATGTATGTAAAAATTTGGTATTAAGTATACAATATGTATTTATAAACAGGAAAAAGTACTTAGAAGCAGTTTCATGTTGCCAGATTTTTCATGACCATTTTTATTTAATTTAGGAAAAATTCTACATCCTAGCTTCCTTGCTGTGTGGGGAATGAACACCCTTCTTAAAATATTCATGTGGTGAGGTTATACAGCTTCAGAAGTGTAGGTAGTTGGAAACTGTGGCTTTTGAAATAAGTTATGGTAAATGTAACCATCGGTCAAAACCACTGTATCATCTGTATTAAAATGTCGTAGAGAGTAATGGGAAAGATCACTGCTTTTTACAAGGAAAATCTGTAATAAATTGTATTCTAACCTAGGTTGTTATAAACTTGGCAATGCTCCTGGCCGAGATGAAGATACACAATCAAAGCATGCCATCTCTGTCAATGATACTTGTGAACAGCTTTCAGCTTCTCTATGTGGTGGATGCTCTTTGGAATGAGGTAAATGCCAATCATATCAAACTGCTGGCGTTTCTAATTATAAAGTTAAATGAATGAAGTTCTGTACTTTCTAAATTCCTTCCTCCTTGTTTCTAGGAAGCTGTTTTGACTACAATGGATATTACCCATGATGGATTTGGATTCATGCTAGCATTCGGAGATCTGGTGTGGGTTCCCTTTGTCTACAGTCTGCAGGCCTTCTACTTAGTTGGTCATCCTACTGCCATTTCTTGGCCTGTTGCTGCTGCAATCACTATTCTGAACTGTAAGTTACAGTGAATATTTTATTACTGGTAGGAACCATGTAGTACTGATTTTCTTCTTTTAAGTTGTGAAGTTTTAGCCAAGATGCAGTGATTAGATTTTGTGTATTACCACAGCTGGTGGAAGCATGTTTCTGGCTACAAAGAATATAATAACCTTTTATTAATGAAGTATGAAGAAGACACCCAGTTGTTCTCTTGAGAGCCATCTTTGGATGGACATCGTCTAGAGTTTCAGAAGTGACTTGAAATGTTTTGAATGAAGTGTAGCAGCTGCCTTTTAAAGTCAGTCTGAGTGACTCTTCTATAAAGGAAGTAAATAGCTTGTTGGTTATGCTTTCCTGAAGCTAGAGTAAAACAGGTTGTATTGTTTAGTGATTTGCATCTCCTTCCTTGATGCCCGTAATTATAAACTCATGTCAACAGAAAGCATTTCCTTTTATCTAGCAAGTGGTTTCAGAAAGAATCTTGCACCTTTAGGAGACCTTAAATTCGCACCAGTGCGAAGAACTGAAAATGCCAAACATTTCTTTTCAGGTATTGGCTATTACATATTCCGTAGTGCAAATTCCCAGAAAAACAGCTTCCGAAGGAATCCAGCAGATCCCAAATTGGCCTGTGAGTGCATTTTTTTTATTTGCTCAATTGCTATGCAGTATCTCCTTGTAGTGTGTAAATACACATTTTGATTGTTGTGTTGACTACAATACTCTCTGCACAGATCTGAAATCCATACCCACTGCAACTGGGAAAGGGCTTCTTGTCACGGGCTGGTGGGGTTTTGTTCGTCACCCGAACTATCTTGGTGATATCATCATGGCTCTGGCTTGGTCCCTCCCCTGTGGTAAGTTCCTGAAGCTAAGGTGGATTTCGTTAAAAATCCCGGTATGTTCTGGCATCTGACTGGGTTTGAAACGCAAAGTGAGAATTACTTGAAATGTTAAAACCTATTGGGAATCAAATGGCAAATTTCTGTGGTGTAAACTTGATGTAACACCTGTTTTTCCTTACATCTTATCCTTTGTATCTTACTGTAATTTTGACTCTTCTTTCTGACACTTCATCATTAAGTAACAAGGGAGCTTGCTAACAAGTTGTTCCTTACATTTTTTTTCCCCAGTGGCTTTGCTCTATAGTGCTTTCCTGACTGCTGGCTCATGTCCAGTTTTTCATCCACAAGTCGTGTGCTCTGAGCAAAGCTGGAGTTGCCATCTTCAGCCAAAATAGAGAAAACCTTGTGGGGCTTGTGTGGGGCAGCTCAGTGCTGCAGGAGGTTACCTAATTCTCTTGTTTTGATAGCTAAAGAACTTAAAATACGTGCCAGCTTTGCATGTGTTAAGAGTAAAAGCTGGTACCTTCTAAGACTGAATTTTAAGGATTATTTTCTGGTGGTTTTGGTGGATCTTTTCCTATCTGCATGTAAACATGTCACATATCACTATCCTCTTGAGCTTTTGATGCTTTATAATACAACTATAAGATGCTTCAGTCTGCGGCGAGTATGTATAACCAGTTCAGTACATGTTAATAGCTAACATTTCATTGCTGTACCTAAAGTGACTTTCTCACTTTATTCTACAGGTTTTAATCACATCTTACCATATTTCTACGTGATCTATTTCATCTGCTTGCTTGTTCATCGAGAAGCACGTGATGAACATCACTGTAAGCAGAAATACGGCTTGGCATGGGAAAGGTATTGTCAGCGTGTCCCGTACCGCATATTTCCTTACATCTACTAGAGCACTCCAGATGCCTGATTTGCAAATTCCTTCTAAAGTTAGTTTCTTTGCAAATAAAAATATACCTCTTACCTTTGCACTTGGTCCAGTTGTTTATTTAGGCTTTTAAAAACAAGCAAACAAAAAGGTGACCAAACAGTGGAGTGCATCAACAGCTATTTACAAGTAATCTTACAAATGTGAGTTATGTGAACTGACTGTCTGTGACTTTGATTTTTACCAAAATTGTGAATTTTAAAACATCTTGGAGCCCTAATCTTTCCAGTTTAAATTTTATCTAGAATCCTGAGTTTACATTTTTTTAATTGCATTTAATTAAGCACTGTGATGTAAAGTATATTATTTTCTTAATACAATAAATACAGAAATTCCATCCAGTTCATTTTTTGGTGTTGCTTGTACCATCTAACTTCAGATGTCTGACTTAGTTGCCTGAACTGAAGGAGCAGCAGGGTCTTTTGGTTGGTGGAACTGGGAGCAGAGGATTTGACCCATGTGAAGGGCCTGTGCCACTGGCAGTGCTGCCCTGGCACAGCTCAGCTTGGTGCTTTGTCCCCCTTTCCTGGCTTTTCATTAATGGGATTTCTTGGTCAGGGACGCTCAGGTGACCCCTGTACCTGCAGGAGGGACGATGGGATGGAACTGGGAGGAGAAGTAAAGGGGCACGACCGTCCCCTCCCAGCCCATCCCTGCATTCTTACAGCAGTTGCAGACCAAGGGGCACTCCTGGCAGCACCCCTGACCCTAGAGAGAAACCATGCTGCTGGCTCAGGCTCCTGAAGGTAGATGATACAAACACTTGTTGCAGGTGTGGGCAGAGCTGTGGAAGGGAGTAGCAAACCTTACTCCTGCATCTAGTGGTGAACACAGGGTAGCAAGAGGTGCAGGAAAGAACAAAATGACCACAGTTGGCTTCTGCTGATCTCTGTGTATGTCTTAATGTACTATAGCATTTACCAAGTGTGTATAATAGAGCTTCCATGTTTTTGCTGTACAGTCTTTTTGGATTTGAAAAGGCGATAGCTTTGGGGTTTTTTTAGGAACAGGAGATACCAGTAACTAAATCCATTTCCAGTACTTTTTAAAAATACGCTCATTGAATAAAAAAGGTTTTTGTAAATTAATGTATTAATTCTTGAACCAATTGAAGTGGTCATTTAAATATTTGTATTGAAAGAGATGCTATGAAAATATAGGACATGCTCCTCAATCCAAAGTTGGGTTTTTTTTCCTTTTTATTTTAATTTGGCATTGCTACCTCATATGTAGGTTTTGCCTTTTGTACTGTTGCAGATAGAGAAAATGGCTATTTTTTGCTATTGCTATTTAAAACAACATTTTTTTACATGAGCCTGTGGTTAAACTCGACCACTTTCTAATATATTTTTGTATATATTTGACTTTTTAACTAATGTATGTGTTGTAGTTACTACTAGCCGTGTTCTTTGGCTACCTGGCTGTAAATCAGATGCCTTCGCAGTATTTACTTCGTAAGTAGAGTAATTTTACTGAAATAATCTTGCATTAACTAACTAACTTTTATTCTGTCATCACACTGAGAGCTTTTCACATACCTCATCTGGGAGGTTTTATAGCACAAATTGTCCAAAACAGCTTAGTAGAATCTTAACTCTAGCGCATGTACTTCTACGCTTGCAGGAAGGTTCCTGATAAATGGGAATGTTGCTGTTGCTCATCAGTTATTTTCAGTTCTTTTAAAATGTTGATGTAATTGAAATCTAGCCCATGACTTTTTTAAATGAAAGAACCCTCTATTTTGTACACAGGCATTTTTTTAAGGATAATTGTACATATGAAGTGTATATAATGTAGCTTGATTGTGACAGTTGCCTCCAAAAATCTGTAATGTTGGTGTTGTAAGAGAAATGTTTTAAGACAAGTACTTTGATTCCTGGTTGAAGAGAGCAGTGCCTGTAGCAACACTGAGCAGCATTTACTCCTGTGCAGTAGCAGATTAAACTGGGATATGCTGCCAAAGGGATTACTGGGAAATAGAGCAATCATCCAACTGTCCCAGCCTGCAGCTGGTGGTTTAAAGTGTACTGGAGTGGGGGGACAGTTGAACCCCTCCCTCTCTCTGTAAAGCAGGAGGTGCTGCTGCCATCCCAGTTCTATCTGTTGCTGCACAAGGTTGTCGAAATGTAATGTGAAGCCCTTGTCTTTCGGAAACAGATTTTGACCAGTGGTAACTTTCCCCTATTTACATGCTGAGTTTTATGTGAATTTGATTTTTGAAGCAATTGTTTTTAATACAAACAAGTCTATAAACTAAAATAAAGCTGTTGCTTAAAATTTAGTGCCTTTTTTTTTTTCCCTATTCATGGTGGGTGTCTAAAAACGACGGTTCTGATTTACCTGATAAAGATCTGCGTTTGCTGAAGTTCCTTTTGTATTTGTGGTTTTGGGCTGAGTGTTACAAGTGTTTGTTAGAAGCTTGTGGTGCTTCTCTTTGCCTGTAAGAAAAAGAGGGCTCCACTTAAAAGGCGATCTCTGTTTCTCCCTTTTCTTCTGCTTCTCTATATGCAAAAGTTTACGGAGCCACCATACTACTACTTTGGATGGAAGAAAATCAAGGTGCTAAGAAGCAGGTG